ATACATATACATATACATATACATATACATATACAGTACACGTACATAGGACATTACTGTTTCGTCAGGAGTACGTCAGAAAAATATAAAACACACACACACAATACACACAACATCATTACTTAACTACCCACCGTTTTCAACTGCCATGGCGCTGATTATGTGAAAAAGAAAAATCGTGAAATAATAAATAAATAAATAAATAAATAAAAATAAAAATAAGAAAGGAACGAAAGGCTGAAACTGATCCATCCCGTATCGGATCTTTTTCGTTCAATAGGCGAGAAAACGAATGAAAAAAATGATAACAAACAGAAATAAACAAGTAAATAAATAAAAAAAAAAGAAGAAAAGAAAACGTAGATCAAGGCGGGAATGGTGCGCCCTGATATTAAAGACTGATGTACAGTTGCGCGCTATTCTCTTCATCGCTTAAATCATTATTCACGCACACTTACCCATACATACACATACATATACCACACTCATAGAAACATCATTATTCACATGCTTATTCTCATATATATTCACACATACACTAACCGATTCTATCCGTAAAACAAAAATATAGATTCGCAAGGATAAAATATGAAAATGAAAATGAAAATATCGAAATTCGAAATTAAGGTGGATTTTTCAAATTTCGCGCTTTTAATCTAAATCTATCAATCATTGAACCTTATCGAATGTTCCATGATTTTTTTACAGTTTTTTTTTTTTTAATTTGTTAATTGTCATCACAATTTCGTTTTATTTCTTCAAACGTTCGTATGAAATATTATAACCTTCGATAATTTTTTCTTTTTTACGAGTTAAATACTACCTTTCGTTATTTCTTGTGTGTTTGTTTCTTTTTTCCTTTTTTCTTTTTTTTAAATATTTAAAAAGAAATAAAAATGGCTACCACCGATCAAAATTTCACATATTTTACGATTGACATCGGGTTCTTGATATTCGTCTGATATATGTATGTCATATATATATATGTGTGCGTAAAACACACTCGTTCCCCTTAACATCGTCGATTCTTACGCGCTAAATCATATTTAATAAAAATAAAATTTACAAAAAATAAATATATATACACACACACAGAGATATATATATATATAT